CGCTGGCAGGCGCGCTGGAGGCGCGCTGGACGTCTGCCACCGCCCGCGCATACTTCCATTGGTTTGGACAAAACGCTCATTCCTCATTCGTCCGCCCCCCCCCCCTCCTCGCCCACGGCGCCCTCGTCTTCATGTTCCTCTTTTTTTTCTGGCGGTGCACCGCTCATGATCAGCCATCCGCCGACGGCGGTGCTCCGCCTCCTGTCCACGCCCCTGCGCTCCTCTGGCGGTGCACCGCCCGTTGTCGGCCATTCGTCGTCGGCGGCGCTCCGCTGCTTGATCTCTGCAATCTCTCCTCCGCCTCCCCCGCCCCACTTCGTCGGCTCGAAGGGCGCGCTGCGCCTCGCGCGCTCCGCCGCGGCCGCCCGCGCGGCGGGGGCGGCGCCCGCGGCGGCGCGCCAGCGACGTGGCAGAGCGATGGCGAGCCCCCCTTGCGCCGTGCCAGGGGCGCGGGGAGGGCCCTTCTGCCGAGCGGCAGAGGCTGCAGGAGGCAGCGCTTCTGCGGGGCGCCTCGCGGGCGGTGCTGGACAGGCGCACGGAATTCAAAAGTTATCCCGCGCAATGTGTCTGGGAGGGTTTGTTTTTGCCCGAATAGGTAAACGTGAACATGCACGTTCATGCGCATCCCCCTGCCCACCCCGCGCAGGGTGACCTGCGCCCTGCTGCGGGGCGACGGCGAACACGTGACGGCGGCTGCCGTGGGCGCCAACGTGGCTCGCGCTGTGTCGCCGCTTCTTGACGTCATCGAACTGCCGCGCCGAGGCGGTGGCCCAGCGTTCAGGTGGACTGCATGCTTGCCCGACAAGCTCGTTCCGAAGCTTGCCCACCAGGCGGGGCCTTGGAGCGAGCGGTTCTGGGCGGCGATGCAGGTGTTCCCTTCGTCGCCAGCGCATCCGTGGCGCATGGTGCTCTACCACGACGACGTGGTCGTCGGCGCGCAGCTCAAAGCTGCAAACCGCAGGGCGTCCATTGCCGTGTACACCAGTTTCTTGGAGCTGCGCACATACCTTCAAGGAGAGGGCGCCTGGCTCCCGCTGGGAGTCCTTCGCTCAGAGGAAAAGAAGCAGGTCACAGCGGGCTTGGTGAGGGCCGTCCTGCGGCGCCTCTTCCTCGGGCCCGGGGGCGGCGCTTTCGACGTCGGCGCGTCTCGGCTGCACTTTAAGTGCCACAGGCTGATCATGGACGAAAGCGCGGGCAAATACACCTTTTCGTACAAGGGCTCTGGCGGTTGGCGGCCCTGCTGCAGCTGCAAGAACGTCGTGCTCGACCAAGGGTCTGGCAGTCTGAGCCTTTGGGACCCGACTGGTTACCCGGTGGGCATCGTTTGCGTCGACGCCTCGAGGTTCGACCCGTTCACTGCGGAGGCGTCGGGGGCGGGCAATGCGCCGCCGACGACGCCGTGCTTTCACGCTCGGCGCGCCGCCACAAGGGGGCGGCCGCGCGCGAGGGCGCTGGCGTTCGCGGCCACCGTTCACGGCCCGCCCCCAAGAAGTTCGCGACCGCGTACGACAAGCTCGTGCAACTGCAACGCACGGCGAGCCCAGGGCCGTTCGCGAATCTCCAGTCTGCGCACGGCATCACAGTGAACGAGTTGTCCCTGATGGCAGACGTGGAACTCAGACGTGTTTGCTCGCTGGACATGTACACGCGTGACCCGATGCACATCATCCTGGCGAGCGGAGGCACGTTTCAGGTGGAGGTGTTCTGCTTGTACAGAGCTGTGGCGTGCGTGATCCCCGACGCGTGGGATCGGTGGCGAACCGAATTCCAGCGCTGGGCTCCAGGGCGCGGCGGCGGGAAAGCTCCGCTGCATCTCTTCTCCCCAGCCAGGAAGAAAGCCTGCGTCGAAGCAGGGCATTTCGTCGGCTCCGCGTCGGACTGCCTCGCCGTCCTGCCGCTCCTGAGGAATTGGCTCCATGTGGATTGCTTGCCGCGACACCCTCTCTTCCAGGCCCGCGTGCGGTCCTTTGATGCCATGTATGCCGTCCTGGAACTTTACTTGGCGGCGAAACGCGGCGGTTGCCCAGACGCGTTCGAGGCCGATTTCAAGCGCCATGTCGGGCTGGCGCTCAGGAAGCACGTGCGCGCCTACACGGATGCGTGGGTCGTGCCTAAGCGTCGCTATCTTTGGCGCGATGCTGCGCAGGCGGCGGAGGATGGGTTGATGCTCGAGTGCTTTGTGCTCGAGCGGAAGCACAAACTCATCAAGGACACCGCGGGACACTATGACCGCTTGGAAGGCATGGACAAGGATGTGATCACCCAAGTCGTGGCCACGTACCTGCAAGAGTCCTTCGCCGCGCAGCGTCAGTCGCACAAATGGTGGCCGACCCCTGAACTCGAGGCGACCATCGGGCTGCGCGGTTGGGGCAAAATGGGCCTGGCGCGCCCGCGAGCGCGCGGCTTGGCCCCGACGGGGGCGCCCCCGTGCATTCAGGGGCGCCCCGTCGGGGCAACGCCGAGGCTCGCGCGCGCGCCGGGGCCCGTCCAGGCACGGCGCGCTGACTTGTCGTCGGGCTGCGGTCGGCGGCCTCGTCTACGGCAGCGGGGGCGCGTGGCTGGAGGGGGGCGCCGCGTTTTACACCCGCTGCGTGGCGGTGGCCGCGGGGCGCTCTTACCTGATCGTGGAGCCGCTGGATTTGGCGTCGCGGCCTGCGCCTGGGGAGTCCGCGCGGCGGCCGCGAGGAGGACCGAGGGGTGGCCGCGCAGAGGGAGGGGGGGGAGATGGGTGGGCGAGGCGGAGGGGGCGGAAGCGGAGGTGGGGAAGGAAGAAGGGGGGGTGTATGAGGGGGGGGGGGGGGGGGGGGGGGGGGCGCGCCGCCGCCCCATAGGATGCGGCGCGCTGGTTGCCGAGGGCGCCCCGCGGGTGCCTTCGGCGTACACCCGCCGAGCCGAAGGCGGCTCGGTCCGCGTGCTGGTGTAAAAGGCGCGCGCGGCGGTAGACCGCCTGGCGGTGGGCCGCCTTGGGGAGGGGGGGGAATCGCGCGGCGGTAGGGCTCCGCGGCATCCGCTTGGGGGGGGGGGGGGTCGGGGGGAGGGGGCGGGGGGAGGGGGGAGGGGGGCGGGGGGGCAGATTGCGCGGATCGTTGGCGACGCCGACGCGCGCTTGAGAGCGCCCCCCTTCTGATTTCCAGACGCAAAACCAAACTTATCGGACTTATAAGTGAGATATACGCTAGTTATACATAACCTATACGTAAGCTAGTTTTGATGAGCAAGTTAGATATAAGTATGATGATGTAACATACATGCATCATGTCACATATGTCAACGCCATCACCAAAGTAGGGATCATCCATATCCCTCTCCCTCTCCATGCGCCCGGTGCTGGTTCCGGTTCCAGTCCAGTTACGATGGACCCCCCCTCAGGCAGCGCGCGATGCATTGGTTCCGCTTCCGGTTCCGCTTCCGGTTCCGGTTAGGGATCATCCTTCATCCCTATCCATGCGCCCGGCGCCGAGTTTCTTTGTTCCTGTGGTCGGATGCCCCCCCCCCCCCCCCCCCCTTCAGGCAGCGCGCGCTGCTCTAGTTCCGGTTCCGGGTCCGGTTCCGGTTCCGGTTAGGGATCGTCTCTCATCCATATCCCTGTCCATGCGCCCGGCGCCGGTTCCGGTTCGGGTTCCGGTTCCGGATGCCCCCCCCCGCTTTAGGCAGCGCGCGCTGCTCCACTTCCAGTTCCGGTTCCGGTTCCGGTTCCGGTTCCGGTTCCTGTTTCGGTTCCCTCGATCATCCCTATCCCTCTCCATGCGCCCGGTGCCGGTTCCGGTTCCGGTTCCGGTTCCAGATGACCCCCCCCTCATGAGTGCAGGCAGCGCGCGCTGCTCTGGGTCCGGTTCCGGTTCCGGTTCCAGTTCCGGTTCCGGTTCCGGTTCCGGATCATCCCTCATCCCCATCCCTGTCCATGCGCCCGGTGCCGGTTCCGGTTCCGGTTCCGGATGACCCCCCCCTTCCGGCAGCGCGCGCTGCTCTGGTTCCGGTTCCGGTTCCGTTTCCAGTTCCGGTTCCGAATCGCCCCTCATCCTTATCGATCCCTCTCCATGCGCCCGGTGCCGGTTCCGGTTCCGGTTCCGGTTCCGGATGACCCCCCCCCCCTTCAGGCAGCGCGCGCTGCTCTGGTTCCGGTTCCGGTTCCGGTTCCGGTTCCGGTTCCGGTTAGGGATCATCCCTATCCCTACCCCTCTCCATGCGCCTGGTGCCGGTCCCGGTTCCGGTTCCGGATGACCCCCCCCAGGCAGCGCACGCTGCTCCGGTTCCGACTCCGATTCCAGTTCTGGTTCCGGTTCCGGTTAGGGATCAATCCTGCAGTTGTTCCCAAAGCAGGACAGCTAGACTGGTTAGTGGAATTTCTTTTGCGTTTTCGCAAGAAGCACGTTTTCACATTCAACCGTAAACCATCGCTACAGCAGGTCAGCAACGGTTTGATCAATGTTGCGAACACAATAGCATGGCGCCAGCACTTTTCAGGGGGCGAGAGTCTTTTGACACAGTGGCGGCGCTTGCGTGAACACAGGGCTTGGACCCCAAATTACCCGCGCGAGATTCCCGAACCGCACCTCTCGCGCCTCACCGATGTCCGCGGGAGTGTCTGGAACGAGCGTGCGAAGTCGAGGTCGCGCTTGGGACCTACAAGACCCCTCCCACAGGTCATCCTGGACGCGATCAGGAGTCTCAAGTACGGATCGCGGGGGGCGATCCCTACTGGCAAGGACGGCGGTTTTGCTGTGGTGCAGAAGTTGCGCTTCGTATATCAGAGATTTGAGGGGCGCATCGCGTTATGTCGAGGTGGCCGTCGACAGATCTGTCCATGCTCAAGATATTTGCGCCGAGTACGCTGCTGCGTGCAAGCAAGCAGCCGGCATGGGAGGGGATGACATCGATACGGGTCTTCTCCGAGCGCTGTGCAGCAGCGGGAACAATCCAGAGAGCACGCGGTGCAATGTTGGAGCTACCGCGAGAACTCACGAAAAAACGGCAGCTGTTCCATTCGCCTTCTCCACACG